CGAGGCAAACGCAAAGAAGTGGGATGGGATCTCATCACTTTTGGTACGACAAACTTCATTGATGTTGGGAATAAGCAATGTTTTATACCGAGGTTGGCGAAAGGGCCAAAAATTAATCATGACAATATCAGTTTGTGGATAGACCTTGTGGTCGCTCAGATAGCAGCTGTATTACAACTACTGCAACATCTCAAACCAGGTAAGTCCAGTGTTTCTTACTATATTCGTCCTAAGGTTATGTGAAGTGAACCTCTCGCAGAGCTCTTTGATGTCTTTGAGGCAGTCGAAGCCGTCAAAAAAACTAGAAAGAATCAATTAACAGTCCAGTGCACAAAGAGTGGAGTAGAGGCTTGGTAACTACTGACTGGTCAGTCTAACATATGTGGTCGTCAAATTAATGGAGAAGATTGTTCTCTCGGCTATTTCGAACTGTGTGGAGGGAAATGATCTTTTAGCGATGAAACAACATGGATTTAAGAAAAAACTTTCATGCTTGAAGGGTTGATCTAATGACTTTCCGTATACTGAACGACGATGTTGGGATGAAGATTTTATACTTCTCTTCCATCTAGGACCAATCATCTGAGGGAACATTTTTGAAGGTTTAAAACTGAGGTCGAGTCGTTTGCACATGAGTTTCCGTTTCTCACACCGTTTAGTCAATGACTGAATTATCCACCAGAGTAGGTAAACTCAGCACTTTTCGTTGACGCTTGCTAGGACATGATTTCAAATACAAGGCAGTCGCTAAAGCTATACGATGGAAAACGTTAATAAGCCGATTATTTGCATTCTAAACCATGAACTCTAAAATTTCTATTACTGTCTTACTTCCACTCTTTAATGTGATTAGTTGTCCAATCAAACAATGTAGAGTTCTTTTGTGCACATGATGTCTGTGATATTGCTGTTTATGCATTGCACACTCCTTTTTCTCAACCTCCTATTCTGTCCTGTAATGTCATCACTCCCATCTGGTTCATGTAAAACTTCCTGCATCTAACCGCATCCGTCATTTATGAAGTACCGTTGATTATGGTTGCTTCCATTTTCAACATGGCCGTTTATTATGACTTCATGTTTTATAGTATTCCAGTCAGTGATGATTTTACCTCTCACCTAGCAATCAGCATGTATGATTAAAACACCTTTGTATCAAGTATTGTTTTCAACCTGTTTATAACTGTAACAACACGGCGAACAAGCTATTTGTATTTTGGTAAAAGGATTTTAAATACCTTTAGGTACTGCAACTGGTTGTGATATGACGTCCTAACTACCGCCATTTATATAGCGAGACAAAAATTAAAACCTTCTAAATACATGCTTGCCTAGGTTATTAATTCTGCGACAAATGTTTTCTAGCAATCATTCGGCCTATTTGACCAAGTAAACCATAAGTATGCTTAAGATGATTGTTTTCGACCACTATCCTAACCAGTTCGATAAAGACAGCTGGGATGCGCTTGAGAAAATGCTCTTTTGCCATATTCACAATATAGTTGTATCTAAACAGCACTACTGGTATAATGACACTCAGACTGACATCTTAAAAGCTATAATGAAGATAAATCCTGCGGAATATCAGTACCGTTTGTGTTCTGATATGCTAGGAAGCCTAAAATATTAGTCTCTATTACGCTTTTCTGTGTTGATTTACTGACGAAGATTTGGATTGCTCAGTATTCAGAATTTGCGCTTCTTAGCTTGGTCCTTTACAGATGCTATCAGTCCGTGATCCCATACATACATACGGATCTACCAATGTATTAAGATAAAAACAAGTGAAGTTTATAATGTATTTGTTTGTTTGAATGACAGGACAAATAAATGGGATGTTTCTTAGGTGAGATTTATAATTTTTACATCTGTTCCTGAATATCAATGTATACCTTTATTCCTTTTCGAGCGGCTTACGTTGAGATTATTATTTACTGTATAATTAGCTGAATTAACAGGTATTTACCAATCTAACTGTACGTTTGTAACCGGGCAAACATTTCTACATCACCTTTAGTACAAAACCTGCATATAGCTTGAGACTATACTTCCAGAGCCTATGTATAGACACTGGCGACGAATATATTAATATGAAGAACAGTGGTGTAATGGATTTTGAATAGCTTTATGTCTGCGAAATAAAACAAAAGTTACTAAGAAAGACGTTTATATAGAGCTTAAAATCCAGGTATTTATTGATGAATTCAACATGACATCCCCAAAACTTTGGGGAATATTTTGAGGTTTTTATTAAATAAGGTCAATACACTTTCCCAAAAGTTTCATTTGGAACTTCATGGATATTTTTCCAAACGTATATGAATTTTCATCGAAATCTTTAGATACCAGTCCTAAATTCATTTTTAATATTCTAAACATTAGTAATTTAAATAAACTAACTCTCCAAGCCACCTTTTTATGGCTATCCTAGTTATTCCATCACTGGTACGGTAACTTTCCTCTGTGTTTTTTCCAAGTTATCTAGGTCATAATTTAAACAGGACCTTGCAGCTTGGATGAACTCGTTAGGTTTGACTCTGCATAATTTTGTATGTACTGTAGTGGCCATACGTGTATCTAGCTTGGTAAGTGCTAATCTTAACGCCTACATGGTTCTCAACCTATAAGCAGCGTGGTCATCGTAGTTATTCATTGTTCAAAGGTTGTGGCTCATTATTGCTTTTAGAATATCGTGAGGCAAGTTTAAGAGCTATGGCGTTCCCTGACGGAAGGTTGTAGTGACTTATACATACGTGTTCACTGCGTTTCTATAGCGTGTTTGCTGTTTAACAAGCCATTGGTCTTCACGAAAGTCACAATAACCTGTCCGATAATTCTCTTCAGTATTCTTGCCGGAGGCTAACGTATCTGTGGTTTGAAGAGAGTTATCTCGATCTTGTCTTATGAACTGGAGAAAGTGGCATCTTTCCAGCCGCTGTCCCAGTGAAATCTTGAGTGTTGTTTTATGCTGAGCAGCCATTTACATTGGGGGCTGATCCGAAAGTCAGGAAAGTATGCATCTGTTTTATTGATTTTTTGTATCACAATCACTTGATGCATTGAGTACCCCATTGTGGTTGAAATCCACAGGAAGCAGAAGATTTAGTGACATCGCTTCTAGGGCTAGTCTTCAGTTGACAGGAGACTCATAGGTAAACTACTTCGAAGTGTTCAACCATAGCTTCTGTTTTGTTCTGGTATTCCTCTATCATTTGGGACACACTCCCTTCCGTAATTACAACTGGAAATAATTAAGTATGTTCTGGTTCTGCAATCGATGAATAAGAGTAGTGTTTCGGCTGTTTGGTTAATGTTTTTTCCGATTGTCTTCTATATTTCCTCTGAGCGACATGAATTGTTTCAGGACACTTATTCCGCATGGAATTGCCAAGTCCCTTCTCTTTTGCTGTGCCAAAATTAACATCAATATCTCTGTCTTTTCTTCTTTCCGAGCAAACGTCTAGTCTCACAGTTCATCCAGGTAATGTGGCATTTCTTTCTTTTTGGTGCAACTTAGTTGTATAACTGCTGGAAGCGACACTATGCTTGTTCTATTGATGTTCCTTAGTAAACTGATCGCTTATATATCTGACTTCCATATGTTCGAAAAAGCCTGAGCGTTTGGTTGGTAGACCACAGCTATAATAAACTTAAATATGATCATATGAACGGTGATTCCTACAGGCGAACTTCACGGTCAGTGAAAAGTGCGTCCAAGGTAGAAGAGTATTGAACATCATATATGGTGAAATTTACAATGTCCTGGACCGCATATGGTTAGGTTGTCGTTTCTAATATTTAATAATCGAGTGATCTTCTTGATGACTTAGTCTCCAGGTCACCCATATTTGTAGACGGTACATAGATAACCTGTCAAGGGGTTTCTTAACTTGCTTAGTCATAATTTCATTGAGAGGAAATCATCCACTTTACAGTCTGGGCTATAGTGCACTACAACAAGTCCTCAGTTGTTAGCAGGATATGGATTGCACTACATCACGTTCTGGACAGGATTGTGTTGAGGGTGCTGATTGGCTATTTCCTAGCCAACCAGCACTAGAGGATACTTGGAAAATACTCGAAAATCTTATTGTACTAAAATTTAAAAAATATACCAATGTTTTTCTTATTGTGACCCCTACCTTCATTCAACCCAGTTTATTTGGAACACGATCACTTCTCTGTTCAACCATGTTCTGATTTGGAGGCTTATAGAGTGAATTAGTGTCAAAAATTACTTAACAGTAATAGTAGCTAGGTCGTAATAACTGAGATCATAACTCCTGTCTTAAGCCTTGAATTCTAGTCGGTCTAGCACCAATTCACATGTCTTCACATCGTATGTCACTATCACGATACATCTTCCACAGGAAAAGGATTACGCCCCCAACCGCCCCAGTTTGATATTACAGTTCTGGAGAGCGAGACACCCATCGCTTGCATCATATATCACCCGTGATTTAGAAGCTGTGATGACATTAAAGTTTTTCATATCAACTACATCTCTAAGCTATAACATATTATTCAGTAGGCAACGAGTATTCGTATGACAAATAATCACTTGCGCTTAACAAATTCCCATGCCACGCACATTAATTTATGAATCGCTTAACTCGGAACTCTGACGATGGGATAATTCTTAAGAATCAGGGTTGATTTCTCCATTTCATCGAGGTTTGTTGATTTCTACTCCTGCTAACCGTCTTTTACTACAGTCAGAAAGATTTAGACCAGCGTGTTCTGGCCTGTTTGTGACAACATCTGCATCAGTAGGTTTCTCAATATATGTCAACGCGTTTGAAACTAGTATGTTGTCAGGCCTCTAGTGTAGGATGCGGATTAAACTAACAGCATCCTCTGTATCTGACTGACTCATGTCTTCTAAAGTCCCCAACTTTTCGTTTGTTCCGTTTGCAAAAGTTTTTTGTAACAACATATTTTACGTAGACACCGTGACTGTGTTTCTCTGCTCTTTTAATAAGCAGTTGCTGTTTGTTCAATGCTCATTTTGTGGTAACATTTTCCGCGGGAACCGCACTGCGCGCTACTCTCATTTGTAAAATAGGTTGGTCATCCATTGTGTTAATTTGCCCCGATTAATTTATGACGACGCAAAAGTTTGCGAGAGAATAATGGTGATGTAGAATCGACCTGAGATGCTAAGCAGACTAATACATTTTGTGAAGCGACCTGAAACAGGTTATATGAAGATGGCAAACAAGCTGAGTAACTTATGCAAAATTGATGAGCGGTGACAATTTTCTTTACCTGCTTGCTTGTTTTGAACCTCACGGAAACATTTCCGTGAGATCAGTGAGTAGCACAAAGCTATTAAGAAAGCTGGATATAGACCTCATCCGATCTATTATCAGTGAAATGATTTGGGTTAAATTGGTTACTTCAAGTGGTGTTGGTCAAGACTGTCCGCTTTTCCCATTTTTAGTTGACTTTGTCATGGAGATGACACTTTCATCCGAATTTGAAGGGTTCATCTTCCACTAGGATATCCACTTGTTGACTTGAATACGCAGGTGGTATAGTTCTATTTGTTGAAGGATCTGAACAAATGCAGTCTCATGATCACTTTGAAAAAACAATGAAAGTATGTTTGAGACGCGGTTCTTTCCTTCCAAGCGTAAAATGTCACTTCAGGATTGGCTTGCGTTGGCTCTTGAATTAGTGATAAGGAGTGAAGTTATTGATTGCATTGACAACTTCACTTATCTTGGGAGTTTGATCATTCCTAATTGTCTGGTGTCTGACGAAATCTCGTCACGGGTTTAGAAGTGTCAATTGATTTTTGGCAACTTGTGGCGCAGGCAAGATATCCGTCTTTCAACCAAAGGGGGGGGGTTTACTGCGCAGCAGTTCTCTCTGTTCTATTTTATAGATGTGAAATATAGCTATTAAGAGTGGGGGATACTCGTAGTTTGTTAGTAATCAATCATAGGTGTCTACGTAGCGTTGCTCGTATATTTTGGGAACACTAAGTAAGCAATGCACAATTTAGAGTACTAGGTAAAGATGACAAGTCGATTAATGAATCAGTAAGTCTTTATCGACTGAGGTTGTCGGTTCATGTGTTACGTACGCCCAAACACCGCCTACTTTGTAGATGACATTTTCTGGTGGAGTAAGTTAGAAGGATGCTAGGAGTAGCCAAACCAAAACATGGCATCAGTACATGAAATCATTGACCCTAGGACTGAGCCACGTTAATAGATATATAATACCTGGTTGGAGTCTGCGCGGCTATTGTAACCGGTGGTTAGAGGCTGAATAACATGGATCAAATTCGTTTGGAATGGCATAGGTGCATCCATTCTTTGTCCTCTAAATTGTGAGATTATGAATTTCTCATAATTTTTTTATTTCACTATTTTATATTTTTTCGAATCGAATCTTCGATGCCTAATTTTTCCTATTACCACTGATACTGTTACTACTAATATTCTAGGATTTGGCCTGACTTTATCTCTGTTTAATAGGGTATAACAAGTTGAATTTATTTACCATTTTCTACGTTTTCACTGCCTGTAGACACTAACTACTAGGTTGGGATTTGCGCGATAACAGCGATCTGTCGCTAAAGTGTTTGTGTGACTGCTCCGAATTCTTCACAGTGTGGTAGGCACCTTCCACTCTATTTTTCCCGTGGTCTAGCCTTCGATTCTTTCTCTATACATAAGTTTCCATTCAATATTTGCGTTCTATATTCCTTATGTTCGTCCACTTATATCTTCGCGATCTCCTTTGATTTCTATCTCTTCGTGTTAATGTAGTATGGCTGTTTGCACCAACGCACTTTTTTCCAGGCACTATAGTGATGACTGCTTACTGATTATTCCTCTCCAACCCATCTTTAAGGTGCGCCCGTCCCCTAATCTTTTCTATTTTTATAACTATAATTTCAATAACCGTAAATATTAAGAGACCCGGCCAACTAACCGTTGTCACTGTTCATAACTCTAATATCATTGCACTAATCGTCACCTGAGAATTGTCGTTTCAAGTAGTGACAAATTTAATTAAGTTCAAAAAGCTTCTTGCTGTTTGTGCAACACGTCTACTTAGATTTTACGACATCTGAGAATTTAAATTTAATTGGAAGTAGTTCGCAAAATGAATTTTTCGTATAACTAGTGTAGTCTTGATTTTCAATCACTTACGTTTTAAGTTCTGATCTTAGAATTTATATTATTTTAAATTTTGTTCACTGGTCAAAATACATTAGATTATTGTGCTTAAAGTTTTATGTTTAAATATTGAGCCCAATTTTTTCCTGTTTTAGCAGTAAAATCTGGAAAGGCCATTATAAAACAACTTTGTCTGACTCCGTTTCACCACTCAGATTTTGGTTGTGGTATAGTGCCATTAATGCCCTAAATTCATTACCATATCAGTTAACTAAGTTGGTTTTCGCCAACCTTTTAGAACTGAAAGTTGTCTAATACAAAGGACAAAAGTAAACGCGTAACTTTTCTCTTGTTATTTTGAATATGAATTTGCAAAGGCTGCGGATTTTTAATCTATGGAGGAACGTTAACCATGTGTCTACTCGTTTTTCACATCCACATAAACCAAACTTTATTCAATCAACAGCACTGACAAAGACAAAATATTTCCTTGGATTAACTGATAAACTACGATATTCAAACATAACCCTTCGTATTTCTGGTGAAAACTTATTCATAATCTGTGCGGAATACCCCGTATTTGAGGATTTTGTGCAACATCTTAAACTCCCAGACACGTTTCAAACGTGGTTCTCATTAACCACACTACACATATGGATGTGCTACGTGCGTCTACGCCAAGAAGGACAAGAAGGGTATCTCATAAAAAAATGGATGGATAGAGTATTATCAGTATTACCTTTAACTAGTTTTTCTTAGGCTCTTTGGGAAGATATGAAACACAGAGTGCGTGCATTCAAAATCTTAACGAAAAGCCATAAGCAGATTAAAGTCTTTCGTGGGCAATACTTTGGCAATATGGTCGGATATGATGAAGCTTTACTATCCTGCTTAGACTCACATTTAGCTAGTGCATTGTGGAGTAATATATGGTTCTGTTGTCCAACAACTACCTTTCAAGAAATCGAGATATTGATTAAGTATGTCAGGAAACAGTTAGAACACTTGGAAAAAATCCCGTCAGATGTTTTTCTTGGACACGGTACTCCAACGTTTTTACCATTAATGCAAGATGAAATAGATGTTTCCCTTGCTAAAGAACGTGTGAGATATTGTTTAACTTTTCCCGAACATCTTAAATAAATAAAACATTTTAAAATATCTATTAATTTTCTATGTTGATATTATTTCTGTACCGTGTTCGGTATTGACAAAGGAATATTTATTTCACTTAAAGATTATCTGTTAAGGTCGTCATATATCCAGCTGCATAGTTCGTACTACCGTACTAACTTTATTTAAGTTAATCACACGGTACCACCATCAAGTTTGTTGGCATATAATCTTATTGTTGCCACTGACTACTATAAGAATATTTTTGAACGCTGATTCACTGGATCCTGGATCAGACCTATGGATTAAAAAGTCTACCAGCGTTCCTCGAGGAAAACTTTTTTTTCAGTTCAAACAGTAGGGTCGTTTCATACACATAGTTCCCTTTATCATTTTGAAAAGAGCAAGAACAAAGATTCTAGCAGAATAACATGAATTCATTTTATTTCGTAGGTTCTCGTCAGCTGCTTACAACCTATAGTATTTAAAAAGATAATTACATAATGGGTTTAAATTGCATACATGAGAGGGTTTATATTGAAGAAATATTCGCAAAGTATAACATGGGTGTAAATGAAATTAATAGGCTGAATATTGTAAATATATACCTAATGTGAAAGAATATTCTAGAGCATTAATTGTGACAACAGTTCAAAGGGGTAGAAACAATTGATTACATAATGAATAAACATTGATAGGAACATAGTGAGTAGAGTTCAGTTGAAAGACTATTAATTTTTTTTTAAAGAAAGTTGAAAAAATGACAATAAATATAAAAGATAAAATTAAAATAAAAAATTTTTAAGCTGCAGCGGAAGAATATTTGTCACCAAGGCAGGGAAAGATTAACAATCATCTCCTTCTGAACACATAAATCAGGTTTTTGGCGTTGTCTGAGCAACAACTGTGACAATCGTAAATGGGGAATATAACTCTGTACTACTATACGGATGTTTGCAAATTATAATTCCAATGAAGCAGTGGAAGTTTGTTTTGTCAGCTCGACCACTTTTCATGTGTATCCATTCAGAAACTATGGTAACGATATCCATTCTCAATGATGTTGCTGTACAAAACACCGAGTATGAAGCAAAACTAAGTGATCATGTCCCCACTTGTGTTCTGGTAGCCTTTTAAGGTACAGAAGCAATCAAGTTTGAGTTCTGATAAATACTGAGCACCTAAATGCGCATATCGGATAGCAAAAACCGTCTTTACAATTTTCTCAAATGGCAGTTACCTTTTGACTAGTACTGACTTTCTACTATCCATACACTCAAACTGAAATATATACTTTTCTTGGGGAAATACCACTCCCCTGAACATACAACTTAAATATTTAACACACAAAATACTGAAACAGCAGAGTACATCCCCGTGATAGTCTGTGTACAAATTAAGTTCGTGCCCCTTCCTACCCCCCTCAGCATCACAAATGTCATGTGCGCTACTGGTAACTTTCTTCATGTTTCTTCACAACATTGTCGCTGTCTTTTGTGGCTACCTTTGGAGCATCTAATTATTTATTGTACATTCTCTAGTTCACGTACCGAACTCGCGTTTCAGTTGTCGAATAATTCTCTGTTCTAAACACGGTACTGTGTGAAGTTTAAGTGCACCTACTCAAGGACTTTTAAACCTAGTACCCAAGTTGGAAGTAGCAGTTGTTCAAGACCATTTCAATCAATGACAAGAAAAACTTATTATCCGTCAATCAATCTGAGTTGGCTGCGACCCAAACTAACAATTTTCCAAAAACTACTTCCCTAGATGGAGTGGGTGAATTCAAAAGACAATTACTAGTAATTTTCATCAAACTTCCAAACTCCTCCGTCGTTAAGTGCGAACCTACCTTATATGGGGGACTTTTGGGCGAACTTCAGTTACATGAGAGCCACTCGACCTTTCCCAGAGGTGTAAACAAAATCCTGGTCAGGTGTTTGTTTTGATTATGTGAAAAAGCAAATTTAAGTTTCCTCAGCATTTCGAAACAAAGTGATTGTTGTGTCCGTTTTCTAAAAGAATTTGCGTAATACACGTGATAGCTATCAGTATAAATTTACAGGTGCCGAAATAGTCTTTCATTATACTAACTAGTTTATTTTAGCTTTTGTGCTCTCGATACTCTCTACTAGTAGTTAGGTTGGAAGTTGGATAGGAGTAGCCACATCAAAACAAAATGTAATTTACTTTCAGTCTGTGTCGTATTGCGAAGTCCGTACCTTATTGGTGTCAGGCCGATAACCGACTGGCAAACCTTAGGTAGGCTCAAGATCAGTCAGTTATTTATAGTATCTGTCCTTTATTTGCAACATAGTTTTACCTTGTGGTTTCTATTGTTTTTGAGCTACATTTATAATGTTTAACTTTTCACTGCTATTCATCATTATTGTATCCACTCTACTCTTCGCCTTACTACTTTCCTTTAAATATACTCGACAAATACAAATATTTTACTTTACATTCCGTATGATTAACTGATATATGTATCGATAATTTCTTGGAACTCTTCATGTATTGCAAGCCAACCACCTTTTTCTTTCTTGATAGATATGCCTTCGATATGGTGAACAAGACTTAAGGAAAAACGGTTTCCTTGAAGCGATCGGATATCTCGAAAGCCCCGTTAGAAAGAGAACCTTAGGCAGAATGAAATACAGCCACCTCTCTCAATTGTTCAAAACCACCAGCTGGGTTAGATAATATTTTACGAAATTAACATTGATCTACAACCCACCTATCAGTCGTTAAGGACTCCGAGTGACATGGTTCAGTCGGTCACAATGGTACAGATGAATCTTGAGTTCCAGTATTTCTCTATAAATTCAGCTCATTCTGTCTCCTAGCACAAAGTTCCCAGTGTTCAGTCTTCCTCGTTATTATTGCGACTATTATATATCAATTTCTTTTGTCGTTTATCTTGTCAATTCCATTTCTTTGTGCTCCTATGGTATGGCAAACTTGGACAATCCATATTTGTGACAAGTTTCATGTTATGATTGATTGAGTCTCTCTTCGACAACATAATGTAAACAATAATAATAATATGACGATTTGTTTCAGAGAAACCACACTGGTTGATGACATATGGACTAAGTAGATTCAATGTTGGTGGTGTGGCATCCGAAATGACCAAGTAATCTGTATATATGTGAATAACAACCAAAGTAACTAATGTTAACGTCCTACTTTGGTTTGGGGCAACAGGCAGTATGCTAGCTCACATAACAATCAAATGATCACTACGACCGGGAAAATTACCCTCCTAAATTATAATCACAATTAGTTTGTAACACTCATTCGTACCTGAGTTTGTGTCTGTTCACTTCTATTCCCATTTTTTGTAATTTTTATTTTTCAACTCAGAGCAGCTCACCGATGGCGGAAAACCTTTCCAGACTAATCGACCTGAAGCAACTGACGGGTTCAAAGTTAAATACTACCACCAAATACAAGTTCTGTATCAGACTTTCCGCGACCACGTGCGCCACATGAACTGGCCTTCTTGACCGTTCGCTCAGTAATCTAGGTCGGATAACAGATAGGGGTTGGCCGTCTTATCTTAACATGGATGTCTGTTTTCTATTTGACCGGCGTTCGAAAGTTTAGTGAGCTTCTACAAATCCGCTCTCCATATGTCGATTCGGAAAACTTGTGTAATATGCTTTTACCCGAAGACCTGTGATCTTTCTGACGTCCATGTCACACCAAGCACCAGAGTTGAAACAAAAACCCTGCATAAACTGCAACTAACATCTTAAGGCCCCTACATACTAACACCTCAGGCAGAGTGGGAACACAAAACCAAACCTCTCATTGTTCCATTCAAGCAGTGAGCTTGGCATGGTTGCCCGACCCCACCATTCCTTATCAACTTCTTCACCGGTGACATTCTGTAAACAGCTCTAGTGGTAGGAGGTGATAGTGGTCAGGATCTGCTACGTGGAGACTCCATGGTTGGGGTCCGGGAAATATTGCAACACAGCGGCTTAAGACGTTATCAGAAATGGCCCAGTATAAAAGTAATTGACAGGACTGGTATAATCTACTCTTACTTTCTTCATATAAGTGAGAGGAACCTCGTGCTGAAACAATATTCGGTTCTGTTTTTCTCAACTGAACTGCTCCCATTATTGTTTTATTCTTATCCACTTATTTTTATCGGCATATTACTTTTTTATTTACCATCAAAAGGTGTAGCATCTTGTACCGATGCATAAATGTTCTAGGTCCAAGGTTGGTAATTACTGACTACTGGTTGATATTAATCATCAAAATAACAATGTGATGAGAAACCATAAATATCTATTGAATTCTTCACTTAATAATCCATTAATTTGATTCTATTTTAAGATCGTGTTAATACTATGAATAAACAATCGTGTTTATTCGTATTTTTATGTTTTTTGAGATATCAAATATCTCTCTTTGAAGACCACCCGACCGTTGTTGCTACCTTGACGTGGTGGTCGGGCTTGCCTATCGTGATGAAGCAACCGAGCTATACTGGCTGGAACAACCGTTCCTCAAGGTCCTACCATGTCAGACAGGTCGGTTGAAGAGCGGTAAGACTAAAAGCAACAAACCCAAGGTCCGAAGGCGAATTCGTTCTGCTGACTGTACAGAGGTGTGACAGCAGTAAGGTGTTTCCTTCAGACAACCAACATGACAGCGATGCTGCCTTCCCACAAGGAGGGGTGGGGTTAGAAAAGGTCGACCCTAAAAGTGCACACCTCACCTTACCTCACGGATTTCCGTCTCCGGCGGTAAGGCCCTTTGAAGAACGGAGCTAACATGTCAAAAACCTCCCACGAAAAGGCCGTGTGCGATCGGCCTCAAGCAGTTGTCCTTTGGGCACTGCGGTCACGCTCTCAGGTCACTGAGACCGCCTCTAATCCAATTTCCTTTTCAGGTACCTCCAGAAGAACCCTTCTACGGTGTGGGCAACCGTGAAGTGATAACCGCCCTCATACCTCTAACAGCACCCAAGACCACTGTATTCATAATCAACCTTCCTCTTCAATTCCTATTATTCCTCCGACATCGACTTTCAACTCTAA